TTTTTTTTTTATATTTAAAAATAAAACTGGTATTAACAGTGAAGTTTGTTTAAAAGAACCATATTATATTTCTAAACGGAACGATCATGCTTTCAAAATTAGAGAGTACCACGCCAGGACGAGCATGTACGCCAACTCTTTTTTTTTTAAACGATACGAGAGTGGAATGGGCTGTGGGAGCTGCAAGTGTGCAGTGAGAATGCAGATGTGTTTTTTTTTTAGCACTTTTAATCCCCCCCCCCCCCCCCCCCCCCCCCCTTGCTGTAATGCCCTTGGGCACTGCGGGGTAATCTCTGAATAAAGAAAAAGAATAAAGAACAGGATCTAGCTGACGTTTTGGGTGTGGAATTGACCCCGTAAGTGACTACGTCACAACATGGCGTCTGGGTCCAAACAAACCGTTGCTAGGGACGTTGCTATGGTCTAATGCATGGAGACTCCACATGAGGCTAGATTTTTGCTTACAAAGAAGTAAATATTTTTTTGTAAGCAACCTAACTTCTTCATGTGTTATCATGAAGATGTTCTTGTCTTCTCAGTGTCGTATTGCAACAATGAAAGCCATTTCTGAAGTATTACACTCCGCTTTGCCTCTGTTGCAGCGGGCGTCTTCATTGAATTGCATCGGTAAACGAGCGACAAAAGCAAATGCATCTCCATGGCCGTAAAAACCTCCGCCAAGTGCGTTTTTCTTTTTTTTTTTTTTTTTTACGTGAAGAATTTAGCTTAGTTCTGAGGCGTGAAAATGCCGTAAAATCAAACCACATCATGCAGATCAGTTACGGCGACGGCCTGAAGTGCATTACCGGCGTAGTGCAGGCCAGCATGAGAAACAAATCGTACGCCGTCGAGGTAAGTCGTTAATTATTATTATTATTGAGGTTGTCAGGTTCTTAAAGAATTGCATGTCTATCGCGATTTCGCAGTAACCATCGTATCGATGGTTACAACCAGGTACGAAGCACCCTCGCATAGCGCGAGTCCGCAAACAAAATTTGGGATCTCAACCGATCGCCTGAAGTGCATGCTTTTCTCACGGGTGCAATGCGATCTATTAGCAGACGATCATCTCGATCGACGCCCGGACTTTCGATAAACCATATTTTGCATCGCACCCTACTGTGATTTTTTATAAGTGACCGAAACTCATTATATTTCAAACAAATACAATATCAGAATATCGACTTTATTCACACGATTCAAACGACGGCGCCGGCTTGTGGCTGACTGCATACTTCTTTCATTCGTCGTCTGCTGCAGGCATCTTGAGGACCGGAAATTGCAGTCGTAAATATTCCAGAAACAAGCGATTAGCGGCTCACTTCTGTCGAAACCTATATGGCATTCAAGCTTTCTGTACTTGTGATTTTTAGAAGTTTAAATCCTACTCCTGATTTTTGAACGGTCGGATTTTCGTAGCGAAACCTAACCACATGTATTTGTCCATAACAGCGATCCTAGCAACGGTTTGTATGGACCCATGCCGTCACACTTACAAAGTCGGGTGGGAGAGGCCTTGCGCGCTTATTGTTTTCTAGCCACTTAGTCTCGAACACAGTCGCGTGTCTAGGTGGCAGCACATATTCTCCAAAAGGTCCCTTGGTCCCAAATGCAAGGTAGAAAAAAAATCCCACTATCGCAGTGAAAATAAAGTACAGCAGGGTGAATTCATTGAATAAAAATATAAACTCCCTCAAGCAAAAAAAAATAATAATAAGATAGTTTGCTTTATTATTAACGAATCCACACCGAGCCTTAAACGCCGTTATGACGTTTATAAAGAATATATAAAAAAAAGTTGCAACAGAAAATAAGCAAACTTTACTTAGATATCCTCTTCAGTTTGTCAAAGTAATCACAGCAGTGACCCATAAATCATTTGTTTACACACGATCGAAGTATAGAAATTTGTAGATTTTTGTTTCTGTGATCCTTTACTAAGCGAACCAATTATTCTATACTTTTACTAAACAAATACACCACCTTATTATACCTGTGTGTATCTAATTACACCGAAATCTGTTTAAACAGTCGATTTGGTGATCAATCTAGAAAAACAACAAAATTTGGGCGCTTATTTGTTTTTTTTTTTTTGTTTTTTTTTTGTCTACACGTGTTTAAAGGAGCAGTATCACACCGGACACACCGATATCTTGTTAAAAAAGACACTAAAAGGAGTTTTAAAACAAATTCAAAAAGGAATTTTAAAACCAATTCAATGATTAGCAAAGAGGACCTGGTGGATGTCGCTAAAGCCTCGCTTGTAATGCCCGTCTAGGAACTCTAGTAAATAAAAGACGGCCACCTGTGAAAATAAAAGGAGCGCAGGGCCTACGTAAGCCTGCGGAAAAGACGAGGGTTCTTCTTACATGACGAGGTGGTGACCGGCGGGGCCCGGAGGCGCGGGAAAGGTCCCCGGAAGAAAGAGGCGGCCGACACGGATAATTGCTGGTAACGTACTCCGTTTATTCAACGGTAAACAACATGGGGGTCAAGCGACACGGGGACGCTACCCTGAAGACACGGGCTCCAAAGTGGTATGTGGCGCCACCTGGCTAGTGTAGATAGTAAATGCGAAAAATTTAAATGCAACAGGAACCTTGACAGGTAGTGACGTAACTGTCTCGCCTACCTGACGTCATCCCGACAGCTCTACGGCCAGCACAAGAGAAGAGGGGAGGGGGGAACTCGCCGCTTAACGGGACCCAATTGTGTGTCCCAGATGTCGCTATTCTCCCTCTACAAGATTGCAGAAGATTAACCCGATACTCAAAATTCACACAAAAGCAACTTTGCGGTTAGTTGCGGTGGTCTGCTCGCTGCCGTGCTTCACCGCTTCAGTGGCTGGAACGGCCAAGGCATCCTGAAGACGTCAGCCCCGCCGCAGCTTTGCTCATCCCGAGACGAACTACGTCATGATTGCGCCGGATGTGACGTGCTCTCCGCTGGCCGCGCTCTCCGAGCGCTCGCCAGAGTGGGCCGTTTATAACAAAAAAAAAAAAAAACAGCACTAAGGTTGAAAGCTGGGCTAGTTGGTGATAATGGAATAAAACAGCGCGAAGATAGAAATAGGAAGAGACACACCAGACAGGACAGAGCGCTGACTCGCAACTACGGCTTCTTTACTCAACGAAAAAGAGAAAGACAAAGAGAAAGAAAAAAGATAAAAATATACAGGAAAAGAAGGAGAAAAAGACATTACTGTACGCAATCACACGCGCACCTTTCACCCATGGTAGCTGACTACGGCACGTGCTGGACCCTCATTGTCAACTTCAGGAATTCCAGCTCCTTGCCTGACAACGCCACTGATGCTGCGCTGATACACTTTTTTCCTCTACTCTGGATGTGGAAGCAGAGACATCAAACACCCCTTGGAAGAGATTAATTGCGCATTCACACTGGAAGCGGATCTGCGTTCGCAAAGCGGTTGCGAACGCAGTTGTATAAAGATCCAGTACAATTGCACGGGCATTTGCCATCAAATGCGCGTGGAATTGTACTGGATCTTTATACAACCGTGTTCGCAACCGCTTTGCGAATGCAGATCCGCTTCCAGTGTGAATGCGCCATAAAGGCTCATTCACACTGCCCCATTTTCTTACGTTAAATTACGTTACGAAATATTACGTTGAAGTCACCGGGACCTCTGTTCCAGTTCATGGGGAAACCATATCACACGCGGCATTTGAGACTCGAATGTTTTGGTGACTTATACGTATAACAAGACTGCATATTGAACAGCAAAAGGCGCGAATAAAAAAAATGTAATTATATTTGTACTCATTGGGGTTACCCAGGGGCAGAGGGTCACAAGAGGCAATGCTGCCCATACCGGAATGGCTTATGTACCCAACCTGAGGTGCACAAGCCATTCCGTAGTTCGGGGGTTATAATTGTAGTCCGGGGGTTATAAAAAATAGGGTGTGTACTTTCCGGTGTTTATTTGTGAAAAAAATCGGCGGATGTTTTTCGGTGTTTATTTCTTTTCAAAACACCGGTGTATTTCGGTGGAACGTCTCACGACGAGGCTAAAAACGGTGATTATCGGTGAAAAAAAGCGATTGATCACAGACAGAAAGTTCCAATTTTATTCACATAGTTCATACACTTCTTCTCTAGGAAGCAACTATTTCTCACACTTGTTTATTGGTTATTATAGTAGATGCAAGCATACTTTCATGCTTGCATCTACACGCAAGGAACGTGCTGCCGTCATGGCAGCCCGTTCCTTGCAGTTCGCAAAAAACGCACGCTCCTGTACGACACGGACGTTGGCAGTGTCTTCCGGGAAGGAACCACAGCAACCTCTGAATACATGGCTTGCACCGACATCACTTGGCCAGACACAATGTGGAAAAGGCACGTGAGAGCCTAGCCTCCACTGTGTTAATTTTTCCACAAAAGGGGGCCATGGGAGACACAATAGGGGAAAGGCGTATGAGAGCTTAGCTTCCACTGCGTTCACCAGACGCTTTTGACCCCCAGAAAGGAGGGCGGACTGACGCCACCTGCAAGCTATGTATAAACACTGGAAGAATGCAGGATCCACGAGATAACACGTTTGACGAACCTCTACGGGGAAAGGGTTTCGCTAGGTCGGAAACTAGCAACGACCGGTGTTTTTCGGTTTTAACCAGGGCGAAAATATCCAACCACCGGTGTTTTTCGGTTTTAACCGATTTTATGTTTTCGTCACCGACGGATGTTTATCGGTGTTTTTCGGTTAAAACCGCAAAATGCACACCCTATAATCAGGGGGTCATAATCTGTAGTAAAGAAGCGTAGTCCGTGGGTTATTATCTGTAGTAAAGTGGAGAGTTGGGCTACTTGGTAAGATGACATCATACTAAAAATAGCGCGCAGGCAGTGAGCACAGTGCCTGTGCGCTGTTTTTAATATGGTATCCGGGACAGAATGCACGTTGTCCCTTCCCTCCCGAGAAAGAGGAAGACTGCATCGGTCCTCGTGACATCTAAATTCCGCCAACGTTCGTCGCCATGTCGAGCCGCCTGGTGAGCAGGACGATCCGCCCAACGAAGACCCTGGAGTCTCTTGCAGAGTCCTCGCGGCGTGCCTCGGCGCAGGTCAGCAAGTACGTCAGCAGCGCCAGGAGTAAGTGCGGCGCTGGCGGCCTCAAGCCTTACGTGCATCGGTCGGTATTGCCCCGTCCTGTTAAAACCCGTACAAAAGACTGCATTCGCGCTGCGCTGAAGAACGAAGGCTGGACAACGGGTGAGGCTCTGGGTGTTAATCGGTGGCCTTGATGAGGCTATTTCAGTTTGTAAAAAGTCAAAGATCAGCGTGCAGCCCCGCTGAAGGCGCCGAAACCACACAGGGAAAATAAGAAACGATACGAAAAGAATGTGTTCTTTCAACTAACATTTATGAAAAATCCATCCCAGCACCCGTGCGTTCGTCCTTTTGAAAGGCGAGCAAAGTACGCGTCATACCAATACCACCCAAAAGAAAAAGCCTGCGCCTCGCCCCCCCCCCCCCCCCCCCCCCCTCTCCCGTCTCTCCCTCCCCCGCCCCCCAAATCGTCATCACGTTTTGCCGCCAGCGCATCTCGCAGCGTTTTACAACTAACGCGCGACGCTAGCAGGCGGCGACGCCAAAGCGGACGCGTCTGCCGCTTTGCGGTGCTCTCGTCGAACTTGACAGTGATTTCCATTTGGGATGGGTCGGGGACCCACTACCGATGACGTCGTGCGCTGGCCTTGTCTACTAGGTGGTATTGGTCATACACACCAATGCTGTAAAGTACACTCTCTGCAGTGTAGATCAGAGCGTACACGCCTGTTGCGATTGGTCTGCGGTGCGGAACTGGCCAATCGCAGCATGCAGCGATGTCTCGGTCCCCTTGTCCCGCTTGGTCCCGCCGTGTAGACAAGGGCCCCAGAATGCCTTGAAACGTTCCAACAAGAAGCTTCTGTGCCGCGGCATTTTCAGAGCCCTTGCGTGTGGCACGTGCTTGCAGCTGTGCTTCTACACTTTGTTTTACCATGAGTGTTGAAGCTATGGATAATTGCAAGCATGGCGCCTCACTGGTGCCTCATTCGTGCAAGCATGTGCAGCGTGCGCGTGAACGTATAGCTTTGGCAAGCTTGTAATTGCACGTACTTGCCCGCACGAGCAGAGACATGGCGGCGGCCAGATGCCGTGTTTGGTATCGTCTTAATGGCGCCGAGATGTTTCGGTGGCGCCCTCTCATGGCTCCAAACCGTGATGACACAACTACAGTGGCGCGTTATCCAGAAGGTGTGCGCATGCGCGACTGCACGCGCGAAAATCTGAATCTTTGGTGCCGCTTTGGTGGAGTGCACATAGGATTTCTGATACAGCTACGACCTGCCAGCGGTCGCACCCTATGGTCGTACCGCGGCATCAATTACGCTGCGGCACGATCGTTAGCAACGTGATGCTTCAATGTATTGGACGGTACAAGTTACATTACTCTTCCTTTACATAAAAACAATTGCGACTTTAAAGAGGCGGATTGCACCTTGTTTCAGCGTAGAACTAGCTGCGACTTTCGGTTTGTCGGATGGTGAGCATTTTAAATGAAATTCTTATTTCCTTGGTCGCAAAGGCCGAACATTAAATATTTGAAAGGGATATCTAAAACTCGGAAACAGTTTTTTTTTTTTTTTTTTTTTTTTTTCTATTTTATTTTATAATGAAACGAAACGGCATATACTGAAGTCCGAGATTGTTTTAGTATGTTTTTAATACCCCAGGTTAACTTGTCTGCCTTCTTTTCTGCCCGTCTTTTTTTTTTTTTTTTTCTTTTTTTTGATCTTTATCAGCTCGCTTTACTTGTCACTCATTCTTGTGTTCATTTATGAGACGAATTACCCAAGCGACGGTCGCAAAGGGGTGAGAATCTTTTATTCCTTCGTGGCTGCCACAACCTTCCGAAGACCACCCGACGTTGACTTGTAAGAAATGGCGTATAAGCCGTGACAATTTTTATCACTTGTTTTAACATTGAACTTAAGTCCAAAAACTGAGACAACGTGGGCTGAACAAGTAATGCTTTATAAGATTTTTTAAAAAAAGCAACTATTTCACATCATTTTGAGCAGAAAACATGAGCACACGTAGATCAGGCAAGAAAAAAGTTGTAATAGTTTACAGCATGGCATTTAAATAATGGTTACAACGTGCAGCGCGTACATGGTTACAATATGCAGCGCATTATCCTATTGAGGTTAAACCATCTAAAACCTACACGCTCATAACAATACATTTAACCGACAACTGCTTTCTGACAACCAGGTAAGTCTCGGCTGAGCAGGGTATTCGAAGGGAAAGACCCATGGTTCCACAGGGGCGTATTAGAGCACTATATAGCTCCTTCGGAGCAGAGTAGCGCAATCTAGAACGCCGTCTCTCGGCGACTAGCGGCGAACGCCCGGAGGTTCCAACTGCGGTCAAAAATGCATGGAGAACGTGAGAAAATCGTTGTTTCTTCAGTTTTGTGGGGATGTGCGGAATGGAAATCATTTTTGACATAATAATGAAACATTTTAGGATAATATGCGATAGGTTTTGTGCCATACAAGAACGTAACTTTTTTAAAAAAAATTGCCTGAGCGGCATCATGCAGCAGACGACACGGCGACGTCACACCATTCACGTGACCCGCTCCGGCCAAACCGAAAAGCCCATCTCCGCTGCGAGCAAAAATCGTCTGCTTCAAACGCCATTGCCTTGGAAATTGCCTTCTCAAAATTTGCACACGCATCCGATATTATTAAAACTTTGATAAAGTGTTTAGCGCTTTACTAACTTCACGACAGGCTAGTTTTGAAAAATGTGAACTCGCCGTTAGTTTTTTAATCAGCCGTGTTATGTCGATCTCCATGTATTCTCCCATAGGGCAGGCTGCCTCCTGGAACCCTGAGTACCACGTGACTCGCGCCGAGCCGCTCTGTCGGCCATGTTGTCGGCAAAACACGGGGTTCAAAGGATTGCGCTACTCTGCTTTGTAGGAGCTATATAGTGCTCTAGGGCGTATCTGGTTCACGCAGACATACAGGGTGTTTTTGTTTTATTCTTTAATAAACTTTACATAGCTTACAAAAAAAAAAAAAGAAAAGACGTGGCAGATATGCCGTTTTTCGCTATATCTGTAGGGCTCGGTGGACAATAAATGGGTGAATAACCGTTTCAATGTTTAACAATTAACCAAAATCGGTTAGTTAACTTGTTTATTAACGGCTTAATTGGCCATGGTGCAATTGCAGTTTTAAAATGAGTCATCATTAGCTCGCTTTCCGAAGCGACAAACACGCACGTGCTGGGCTGTAAAGATCTCACGCTGGACTGTGATTTTGTAAACATTGGAAAGGTCTATACGCCATTTATGATGCAACAAGAGTACACTAATTGTTTATCTTAAAGTCGGCCTCATTCGATCACTCGCCATGCAAAACCTGAAGGCATTTTTTATTTGTGTCCGACTCAGAGCGGCTGTCGGAAAGTTGGTCGCAGAGTTCGGTGCGGTTCGACCACAAGGCCGTCTACGTGGGCATCGCGGCGGTGTTCCTTCTCCTTGTCTTGGTGGTTGTCGTGTCCGTGGTCCGGACGAGCGCCGAGGCGTCCACGAGGCCTTCCGCCGTCGACGTGGCCGCCGCAAGCCGCGCTCCGTCCGTCCAGGTCGAGGCCTGCTCCTCGCCCTCGTGCGCCGACGTCTCCCGGCGGCTGCTCATGTCCCTCAGCCACGAGACGGCGCCGTGCGCGAACTTCTACGAGTTCGTCTGCGAGGGATGGAGGCGGAGGCATCCGCTGCGGGAGGACAAGTACCAGGTAAGCACTGCTCGGATATTGGGGAATTGTAGTAGACCGTTTCCGCAGCCCGCTAAGCACCCGGATAGCGCTCCGTACAATCCGCCACAAGACCTTGAACTATGCAGGGAAGGCTGGCGGCGCGCATGCGCAGCTGCGGTGTTTTCTTCGGGGATACCGTAGCGGAGGAGAAAAACGATCTACTACAACTCCCTAATAGGGAGTTGTAGTAGATCGTTTCCGTGGTTCGGTTCGTAATCAAAGAAGCAGCTAGGCGTACGCATCCTTGTCGGAGGCGGTAGTGCCGATACCAGCTAAGAGACAAGGTCTGCTCACAGTGGATCCAGGCAGGGCCCCCTACCTTGCGTCAGCTTCGTCGACAGCGCGTCTTGCAACGTCTCGCAACGAGCGCGACGTCGAATTTGGACGCGTCTGGATGCACGCACCTGCCGCTTTGCAGCGGCCCTTTTCGTGCTTCGGCGTGTTTGCCGCTTTGGGGCGTGTCGGGGGGTCCACTAACGATGACGTCATGAGCACCTAGGCCTTATCGTCTAGGTTGTATTGGTAATGCGTTCGACCAATGTGTTACGAATAAAAACGTTTGACAAAGAAGAACTGAAATGAACATTTAATGAGACTAACTTGTGCCTAGAAACTAAAGAGAAAATTACCACGCGTCTTGCGTCGGCGACGGTAGTGCGACCGTATCAAAGCGGCCCGTTAGCACTGCTTTTATACACGCGGTTAGTTTAGGAGTGTTCCAATCTAGAACACACGATGACAGTCGAGGATGTGCTGGAACGTTTCCAGAAGAGTACACAATCATAAAAGAAAGGACATTGTCGAGCAGGGTTTGAACCCGGTTCCTCCGTGTATATCGATATAGTACGGTACATAATAAGGCCGCAGAATTAGCACTAATTATAGTCGCTGACAGGTGAATAACCCAATAGACGCTCCACCTCGAGCGACGTAGCTTTCTGCCTTTGAGAACGTTGTACGCGCAGCTAAGCCCCGGCTTAAGGTAACGAGCGTATACGCTGGAGGCAGAGCTTCTACATTGGGTTTTTAATCGTCCGGAAGTGTCCCATTAGTTCGAACGCCGCGTCTGTCGCGCAAGAAGTAAATAATTACTGGCAACCCTGATACTATGCGGAGAGCTAGTCGTCTGCTTTTTCCGCTGGAGTTGCGATGACGTCAGAACGACGCTAAGCTCCGATTAAAAGGATAGTGGGTAGACCTCAATGCTATAGATGCCTCGAGGTCTGCCCACTCTTATTTTTTTTCATCAGCCAATACTAGTTCGGCGTTCTGAGATCATCGCAACACCTGTGCAAGAAGCAGACGAAGTTGCGCTCCGCATATTTCTCTCCCTCTCAGTGTTTATTGCTCCTCCTCCTGTGTTTAGTGATGCATCTGATGCATCAGATCCATAAGTACTTTTTAACGCTAGGGCGAACACATCCCATTGTGTAAATCTAGGTCAGACAACGGGCGTACAGTGCCAAATAGTTCCCTTGCGGTACACTTTTGGTTTCAGTTTTTGAGTGAGAGCGAAAAAGAAATAAACATTTGTCTCTCTTCTTGTACCACCCAGACGGTATAACAAGTTTAAACCAATTAAAATAAATGAATAGGGCCGAAATACGTAGGTGATAATTTTGTAAAGAAGCCAATTTGAAACAAAATGCTAGGGGCGACAGCGAAATCCCAGGTAGGGAATATGCTTTAAAGAATGTCAAAGGGCATTTGTTTTATATTTGTAATTTTTTATATTGATTTTCTTTTTATTTTGTCTGTACCTTGTGGTACAGACAGAATTCTTTGTATCCAGAAACAATTCCACTCTCGAGTGGATACCCTAGCTGCGTGCAATGTCGATTATATAATTGGCCATTGCCAACGTATCACTAGGCAGATGATCGGCCAATCAGCAAAGTTCGGCGACCGACCAAACTCCGATTTCGATACTCCGACATCGGGCCATGCTCCTGAAAGCTGTGACTCCCATAGATGTTATTGGATGCCGGCCACGAAGCAAGGAACACGTCTGGCATTTTCGTGACCACCGAGGAAATTGCATCGAATACTCATCCACAGGATTGGGCCCCCTTCTGACCCAGTCATTGATTGAACTGAGGACCGTTGAAGGTGCCAACCCGTTACAGTGCACCGATCGATGATAAACGGCTCGACCAATAACGGCCGTGTTTTTTTCTGCTGCTGAGATATTGAGTAGATTCTGCTCTGGGTGGATATGGATCCAACATAGTCAATATCCAGAACAAACTATGAAATTCAAATTTATATAAATTACGCTTTGTTTCCTGGCCAATATTGTCTTCAACGCATCTCATGCCGTAAAGGCATAAAACTGGAAACGTAAATGCAGCAAACCGTTTTCCTTGGAAATGCATCCACTGGCCGCAGGTGAGCGTGCTGACGGAGGCCCAGCGCGAAGTGCGCCAGATGCTCATGGTGTCCCTGGAGACGTTCCAGATCGCGCGGAAAAACCAGTCCCAGATTGACAAGCTGGTGGCCCTGTACCGGTCCTGCGTGGGCAGCCTCTCCCGCTACGGCAACAGCGTGCGGTCCATGCGCGGCTTCTTCCGGCTGCACGGCCAGCCCTGGCCCGAGCGGTCCGCGCCGCAGCTGGCCGAGCTGTTCGACTTCCTGCTCGAGCTGGACATCCGCTGGCACCTGGGCGTTACCTTCACCTACACCATGGACACCGACGAGCGCGGGCGCAGGGTCGTCTCGCTCTACCCGAGCAGCCCCGACAGGCGAGCAGGCTTCTCTTGCACCACGCCAGCGAGCGAAATCCGAATCAATGATTACAACGGCACTCGAGTCGACAGCATAAATAAGCTTCATTACGTCATCATCGCGCAGTCGGCACTTCATAGACTGTCAGTACTTGTAAGAAGCACGGAGAGAGCTTTTGTCTAAGAACTTTATTCTTGTGTGCAGGTCCGTACTGCAGGCGAACGTGCGTGCCGCCTACCAGTCGCTCATCACCAAGATGGCGACGATCATCGGCGGCGAGGCCAACTACGTGGACCTGGTGGAGACCGTGGTGCGGATCGACAGCCTGCTGGTGTCCAGGGCGCCCGAGGGAGGAAGCGTGGCCGTTCCCTGGACGCGCATCATATCGGTGCTACCAGGCACCACGTACCAGATGTGGCTCGATCCATTTGACAAGTACCACGCCAACGGCAAGGGCATTCGAAGCACCGACATCGTGCACATCCACAGCCCACACTACTTTAAGGTCGGCGCGTTATCTCCTTGCACTCGGAGGCTGACGGGGTAAGAACGGCAGGGGGGCTCTTTCCAATGCCTGGCCTCCAGCACACGCCCTTCCGCTGCGCTTGAGCATGGTCTCATCTAAACTCACAAAGCCTGGCAAAGATCTGGCAGCACAGAGCATCAAAGAGCCATTTCTCGGGGAACCTGGACGTCAGCGCACAGCTTTGGCAGCGGCGAGGACCCGAAACACTTGCACGCTCGGGAGAAGTGTGTTTTGGCACCTCGCCGCAGCGGGGCGCCAGTCACGTGACTCTTCTCTCATCTGTTGTCTGTCGCTCCACCTTTTCCATTTCGGCGGCCGGTTCTCGTGGCGATCTACCAGGCTTTGTCGGTATATATACGAGGCGATGGCTTGAGGCTTACGAGGCATCGATGCAACGTGGAAGGTGGGAAGCTCGCGCTGGAGGTGGGCAGGTGAAGGATCTTCCTGCCGTTTTCGTTTTGTCAGTGTCTAGTCCACGGGATCGTACGAAGCAACATTCTTCGACGCTTTCTTTTGAAGGGGAGAGAAGGTATGAGCTTCTTTCCTTCGCGTGCTTTTCTTGCGGTCGCAATGGCGCATCCAGTGTTCTTCAATCATTTTTCGCCATGGGCCACATCACACGTTCGGGCGCACAGCGGACTGGAACTGAGAACATGCCAACGTAACGTAAGAGAGCATATGAAGCAAAATTTATGCACAGTTCAAATACCCACTCGGAATCGTGCTTACTGGCATTATGGGGGTATTCACTGGCGGCCATACTTGGGTGCGTAGCTGCTGCGCGCGTGCGGACGGCAAGCTTCCACAGAGCTTTTGCAAGGCGCATTCCGCACCATCAAGATTGCGGTCTTGGGATTGCCAGTGGGTGAGTGTGAGCTCGTGCTGAGCATGCCCGGTGAACAGTGCATTCAAATAGGGCGTCCAATGAATATCCCCTATCCAACTCTCTGGCGTCACATAGGGACTAAGAAAAGAAAGCATGCGTCAAAACACCACCTTTTGATTTTTTACTGCCGAAAAAATATGCCGATTATTAAACCTGAGACTACGGCGGATGATATTAAAGTAGCGACTTCTCTTTTATTTAGAACCTTAGTTCCTTGATAACTTTCTAATGGTGTAGAAAATGTTTGTTTTAAGTTTTTTAATTGAGGTGGTACTTGCTCTCGAGTGTATTGCTCGAGGCGCCCAAAACATCCAGCACGCATTTTCTCTGCAGACACGAACCCCTCAAATATGCCACACATGATGTAAGACGCCTCAAATTATTTTAGTGTTGCATCTTAAACCCATCTACATCTTAGTTTGTTCGGATTCCTGAAACAGGCCTACAGCACCGCCATCCTTTTGCTTATTTGTTTTAATGCTTTTTTGTAAAGCTATTACTTTTTTTCTTTTACAACACGGATGTATTTGCCAAATTGTAAACAAGTTTCTACGATCCTCCAGAAGATCTCGCTGCAGCTTCCCAGACCGCAGTTTGCAGAAAGACCGAGAGTAACCATTATGGGGCTTACTGCCCTGTTTGAAGTTTACGAACTGTATGCAGGGTGTTTTATTTTAATTTTAATTTTTTTAATAGGGCGTGACGGTTAGACGAGCTTTGTCTTTGCCATTGTTTATCAGGATCAGTAGAAATCAGATGTGGGATAATAATCACGCGGTAAGTTGACTAATTAACTAAATATTATTAATGAACTTATGAATTATTAGTGTTAAGGGTCGTGCATGAATCGAAATATTGACGGCCATTACTATTAGAGGTCCGGCCGATTTAAAAATAATGCGAGAAAAATAATGGTTTTTGATGCATTAATCGATAAATTTTCACAATTTTTTCGACCGATTTAAAATTTGCGTTTGAAAAGATCGTCGCGAGCCCTGCCCACGTCGTTGTTTCAATCATCATGTCACCATCTCGGCAACGTTTCCTTGGTAGGTGCACTGATGACACAAGTGACGACGTGAGCTAAACCAACTATGTCACGCTTCCAAGCGTCATTGTGGGCAGGGCTTAATGTGCTCTTTTTCTCTATATTTTAAGTCGGGTAAAAAAACAACAACAGGATAATTGATCAATTAATACCTTAAAATTATTATGTTTTCGCAGTCTTTTTAATTGCTCTGGCCTCTAAAAGTTATTCCAACATGAACCCTAAAACCAGTGAATAAAACGTTGAGATTTTATTTAATGAGTCAACTTATCCTGACTATCATCCCCTTATTTAATGTCCGCCGAGTCTAATAAACGCATGTTAAAGACAAAGCTTGTCTAACCGCACCCCCTATTTTTTTAAGTGTCTGACAAATTGTTAGGCAATTGCGTTCCATACAATTGAAAACGAGCGTGTTGGTTAATAGATACAAAACTTGAAACAATAAAACAGCGAGGACGAGGACGGGAACAGGACATCTTTCATTTAGCAACAAGTTGTTGCTAAATGAAATATGTAATGTTCCCGTCCTCGTCATCGCTGTTTTATTCTTTCAAGTTTTGTATTTCATACGTGAAACGTCTAGCATCACAAACGTTTATATTATCGTTTAGCAGCTCGTCTAGCCTGTTCAGTAAAACGCCTACGTTCACGGCGCTCTTCATTAAATAATTTAATGCGTGGCATGTCTACACTCGAAGTGATAGACCTGGTGATCTTTGAGAACCTTCTAACCCATTCCTCCTCTCCCACCTCGCCTCCCTCTCATCACTCTACCCCTATTCACATGACCTCCCCGTTAAGCAATCAGCGTCGAGCACCGCACTCCTTCTCTCCCATCCGTTCACCAATCAGTGTCGAGCCTCGCTGCCACGCTTTTATGTATACCTAGGCTGCACTTTTGAGCTGCACGATATGCCGAACGCCTAGCCAAAGAACGTTTTACGATAAAATCTCTTCGGATTAAAATCAAACACTACGTGTAGTGCCTTACAGTTCCCGGGGCGCTCCGATTGCTTGCTCGCGTCAACGTTGCTGTACGACGGACCGAGCGGGCAACCACGCACAGGCGATGCTGACGCTCTTCCTGGACAACGTGTCCAACGGCCTCTCGTCCTGGTACCTCGGGTGGCGGGTTGTGCAGCTGCTGGGCTGCCACACGTCCCACGAGTTCCGCAGCCTGCCGGAGACGCAGACCCTCTGGCCGCAGGGGCGCTGCTCGGCGCTGGACGTGCACAGCCACTGCCGCTCGTTCGGCCAGAGGCTCATGAGACCGCAGTGGCAGGGATTCGTCACCAAGGTACGTGCTAGAAGCTTTGTCTCCAGTCTGAACACATGTAATTCACACAGCAACTGATAACTAGTTTCAAAGTGGTCTTTCGGCCTTCAATATGTCGAACCGTTGAAGGATCTTTCAAGATTAAGCGAAGTGTGTTTCGGAAGCCATGAAAGCTACGGCTCTTGGTGTGTGGAACGTATTTCTCAAAATCTATACAGCTATGCTATAAAAAAAGAAAACGTTAAATAATAGCATTTAAAATTTGCAGCCATAATCACACCATATTACGGCTTGAACAAACCACTCGTATCGGTCTCGAGAAGTCATAGTATCCGCATGTTTGTATTGCTTTTTTTTTTCTTTTTCTGAATTATGAATGATGACAATAATTTTTCAAAGTAATAGTACTGCGTGCCGTTAAACATATTTTGTGTTTCAATATTCGTTTATAGCTGGCATTTTGTCCCATAAATCAAGTTTTAACTATCAAACATTGTTCATACGACGGTTCGTCATGCTAGAAGTCGTTTTTTATTGCCTTACCACGAGGCGCTCGATCGCCTTCTGCGCAATAAAATACGCTTCCGACCCCAAATGTTGTTTATAAATTGACTTTTAGCTTACTAGGCGCGTTTCTGTCCACTAAAACTCGTTCGTACGGCGGCAAATTCACGCGCGATTTGCTCACTTCCATAGGGCATCGCGGCGTCCATCAGCCAACGCCCGTGACGTCACCGGAGGAGCACTTCGGCCTTGTCTCTTAGGCGGTGTTGGGCAGTCCCCTACAGTTATTTGCTGGCAAATTTAGCGAAACGCGGGGCAGCATTACGTGTTGCCCCGGGATGTACACTGTGGTAAACGGAGGGGTGTCCGTGGATCTCTTTGTCAAAATGACCTCCCCCCCCCCTCCACTACCTTAACTAACTACATTTTCAGAATACCCGTGATTTACTCTTCCCGGCATGCTATGTAGTATCTCCAGATTAAGAATAGGTATTGAGGAACCCGCGACTGTGCCAAAACTTATATTCAGATTTCTTCGCGCTTTCCTTGGGCGTGACGTCATATGCTGTAAAAACTTTCAGGTCGAGCAAACGGTCCAATAAACAGAATATGTCGCACATCTATAATTTTCTCTTGGTCTGCTGAAGTGAGTTTCCTCGCCATTCGATTCACACCACAAACTTCCCACCGGGAACAAGTTCTACTGCCCATATATTACAACATCGTTCGTCACGTTTACGGTGTCGCCAGTAAAATCTTGCAGTGTGAAAAAGCGATGAGGGCTAAATTTTGAAATAAAATAACTTCTCGAGAAAAATATGATTCTGACCTACAATATGAGCTAGTTCAGCCGTGTCTATCGACGCGTTGAACCAAGTTTGAGGCAAATCACCAACCATACACACTTTTATGTAAAATCACCCATGATCACGATGGGAGTGTCGTGACAAGGGTTCAGACGTTTTTTGGTCCGCCGGTGTCTTGGGTAGGCTGTTTGGAATCGCAGAGGCCCTGCCTTGTCCGCTCGTCCCAGGTGTGTTGTTTGTGGCTGCTGGAGACACATCCACGGGCTCGTGCCGCATGACGATAGCGGGCGCGAAAGAAGTGAATGCCCGTAGTATTTGCAGCCCCCCGCGCCGCCATCTCCAATGTGCATATGCGGAAATTACGTGCAAAGTAAGTTGATAGAGAAAACCTTCAAACACACGACACGAAGTTTTTCGGGAAGAAGCACGCGCGGATGAAGGGAGCCGACGGCACCTTCGTGGCTGACGTGATAGCCTGCTCGCCGCGTCATTGGTGCGAACAAAAAACAGACGTTTACAATTCTCTGTAATGCCGAATTAGAGCGCAGCTCTTGAAGAGGAGGAAAGGAGGGTATGGGCCCCTCCTCCCCATTTGTACGCTCCCCTCCTCCTCCCCCATTTAGCGAAAAATATTCGCTAAATTTCCCGCTAAATTTGGCGAAAATTTCCCGCTAAATTTAGCGGAAAAATTTCTGCGCTAAATATAACGGAAAAATTTTCTTTACATTTAGCGGGAAACTGTCCCGCTAAATTTAGCGGAAACATTAGAGAGTTTTAGTAGATCGTGTTTTCAGGCCACGCTAATCGTAGCGGGAGCTCGCGCTGCCACTTCGATGCATGCTCTAAAGCGCGCGCTCGTAGCGGTAGCGGGCCGTTGAAAACGGTCTACTAAAACTCCCTATTTTCCCGCTAAATTTATCGGAAAGATTTCCCCGTTAACTGTAGCGAAAAATTTCGCCGCTAACTTTAGCGAAAAAATTACCCCGCTAAATTTAGGGGGGAAATGTCCCATAATAGGGAGTTTTCGTAGACCACGTTTCCCCCTCCGCTAAGCCCTCCGTAAGGAAAAAGCGGATGGCCTTGACTGTAGAGTTCTGGGTATTCTAGCGGGTTGCGGAGAGCGTTGCGGGGCGCAGTTACGCCGACGGCGACAAAGACGCCGCTCAAGCCGGAAACGGGCGCTTTGCGGATCCGCTAGTGAATCCCCTCAACTGTTGCCGCTAAGGCAAAACGACCTATTTCTGCCGCCGAACGAGGCGTTTCGCTGACCGGAAGTGACATTCTTGCGCAGCGCAACGCTGCCTACGTCATGAGTACGCGTTCTTCCGGGAGCAGCAACGCCCGGGAGAGACACCCGAGGTGGGAACTCTCGCGCGATCTCGTCATGTTTGACGGGATGTTACGAGAACAGCTGCCGCAGCCGGCGCCTCCGCCCGCTCGTCTCCGCCGCCGCCGGGAGCGAATCCGCTCCCGCGGCAGCGGTTTTCTTCTCAAATGTAACCAAATGCCCCCCCCCCCCCCCCAAAAAAAAAAAAAAAAAAAGAAAGGCGACGGCGTTTTTGTGTCTGCCGCGACAGCATGTTTGCCGCGTTACTGGTGTACGCCTCAAGATACGTCAATTCCGTGACCAAGTTTTCGTGATATCGACTTACAACTTTGCATTTCCTTCCAAGCGCGGAGAAAGATGTGCGGTAGTTCTACTTTTATATGTCAAAAGGTGTAAAAAAAAACGCAGCAACGTCGGGATGTGAGGAAGATTTAGTAGATCGTTCCGATAACTCCGATAACGATACTGGGTACTTGGCGGACGCCTTTGCGCGTGCATTTTGTCGTTATCGGGTACTGTTATCGCAGGTATCGAACGATCTGTACTCAAACTTTCTAGAAGAATCTCGAGTTGGGCAAGTTGGTACATCTTAGATCCGAAAAGCGCCAGAAAACAAGGACAACAGAAGGAATAGCGCATCGTTTCGTCAGGGATGGGCAAAATACATGCAAATATGTATCAAAATATAAATACAAAATACTTCGTCAAAACTGTATTTAATTACAAGTCTAATTACATTTCCAAAAAAGCATTTAAGTACAAGATACAAATACAACCAAATGTATTTGGTCTCCCTCCAAATACTTTTCCAAATACATTCCTCAAAATTTGCGTCAGTGACTTCAGGGCACCTGCAACGGGTTTCTGGGTATCCCATTTTAATCTTGCATCGCACACTCGAGAGTTAGTGTGCGAGGCTCCAGTAACGTAATAGAAATATAATCACAAAAAAAAGATGTAATCTGCTTGGACTTAATAGGTGAAAAAAGTACAGAGCTTCAAGCAGTTTTTTTTTTTTTTTTTTGTCGATTACATTTTGGTATAGACCAACAAAGAACCGAGATGACCAAGACGCGCAGCACTAGCTAGAGAATTCTTTTATTGTTGCAACTCGCACAGTTATGAAAGATCTGACGACCCGCGCATTTAGAAAGTTCCAGGGAAAAATATGGATGGAAATCAGGCTGGAAAGCATCACAAGTTGTCACAGGCACTTATTTAGCCAGTCTGCCGGTGAACGTCGATTTCGTCACTATTCTTGCCCTGGACTAGCACCGCAATCACAAAGTCACTAAACGCTTGTGCTTGATTGAGAGACACTGCATTCGGTGCAGAACGTTGTTTTCTTCCTGCTCTGGACACTGCCTTTAAAATTAAGCCGGAGGAGAAAAAGAAAACAGCCTCATGGCCGAATAAAAGATGGAGACTATATCTTACAACCACATGCATAAAAACAAGAATTGTAACTTTGGCAATAACATTTATTTAACGTAATAGAGGCACGTATGCCCGGCACCCGCGGTGAGCGAGACGCGAACCGCCGCAGGGCTAGTGTATCAAGAGATGAAGAGTTTCTTGGTTTGTTATTGCCGTTGGCATTGAGATGAAGAAAGAGCAGCTTTGGACACGTCTTAGGATGAGCAAAATGAGTCGTGACAATAAATTCGAGGAATGTATTTTCGCCCACAAAATTGTATTTAATTACAATCGTATTTGAAATACCCACGTTTTAGTATTTAAATACACACGTCAAATACATTACCCAATTTGTAATTAAATACAAATGCAAAATACACAAAGTATTTGAAATACGTATTTTAAATACTTGTATTTGAAATACTGCCCATCCCTGGTTTCGTCTATTCCTTCTGTTGTCCTTGTTTTCTGACGCTTTTCGAATCTAAGATCTCAAACTTTCTACTGAGCCCAAAAACAAACGCAGGTACTGCTCTCCCCGGACGCCGTGTTCGACGTGCTGGGCGTCGTGAAGCGCGTCCGGGGCACCCTGGAAGACCGGCTCCGGCATGCGTCCTGGATGGACCCGGCCACGCGGGTGGCGGCCTTCGCCAAGCTCGAGGCGCTCCGCGAGACGCTGCCCAAGTTCTTCGTGTTCGACGGCAAGACGCCCGAGTACGAGCGCTACGCCCGCCTGCCGGACCTGTCTCCCTCGTTCGTGGACAACTGGCTCGCCGTCAGGCAGGCCCTGGGAGACACCGTCGACCGACGGGACAACGCCACCTCCCCGGTGAGGACGCGGGCACGGGCAGTACTGCCAGTACCCCGCCTAGAAGACAAGGCCCACGCATGACGTCATCGTTAGTGGGTCCCCGACACGAGCCAAGCAACGAACACGCTGAATCCGCAGATTGTACTCGAGCTCTTACACGGAATGTGTAAAGCCTCGTATGGGGCGCGTGGGCCGTTTGCAAAAGTCCGAGGACACCTAAGCACTTATGAGTTTTAAATGAGAAAGCATGAATGTCGTTCTCCCGCTCCCTTAGTTCGTCTGAGGCGTAGTTGCGTGGACGGCCACGTTTCGCCGGCGGACGGCTGAGCGCGCGCTTTTGTGAAGAGGACGCGCCGCGCTGAGCTGGGCCGTGCGACTCCTCTGGAGTTTGCCCCGGCAGGCTGTGGCTCTGCCACCACCGCTACCTCCTCTTACCGGCGGCCGCGCCGCTGCGTGGGCTGCGCCGCCAGGGAGAGGGCTTCTCTAGTGACTTTTTATTTTGGAATTACGCCGCACGGAGAGCCAATGGGAGCCTCGTTCCTTGATTACGCGCGCCAGCCAATGGGAGCATACTTCATCAGAAGTCGGCTTCACTTGGGAAAGGGGATTTTAGGCTCCTTTTGGCCAATGTTTGGCGTGGTTTGAAAGCTGATGGCGTCAGTTCGCTCCATGGGACAGTTAATGCTTTCGAATTAATAAACGTTGCAAGGAGGCGAAAGCGTCCATCGTCTCAACAAGCGCCTCCGAACCTTTTTTCCGCCTCTGCGCCCGCCATCCTACTTGCCACGTGATAACTCCCGCAGGCGCACGGCCGGGCAATCAACCTGCGCAGGATGTGTCCGCCATTATATTGCAAACAATCTTGGTTCGAGTTGCCCCCTCTCTTAAACGTTGGCCAGGCTTTTCCCAAGAAAATACAAGCATCTTTTAAAGCAAGTTTAGATAAATAAAACTCAAGATCAGCTGAAAAATAAATTAAAACTGAACTTATATTTTGCACTATTGTTATGCTATTGCAATGTTTTTTGTGTTTTTTTGCAAACGCTTGTTTTTATAACATTAATTACTTACTTGAAGCGTGTTTTTATTTTTCGTTAGGCTGCCGACAGTGATAAATTGTTGTATTGTTGTTTTATAGCGGCGCATCAAGGCCTCGTCAGACCAGCCTTGATGCTGCAGAGAATGTGCATTGTGTGAACGAACTTCAATAAAAAAAAAAAAAAGTCCCCCAGCCTTTCCACTGTAGCAGAGCGAACACTGGAGAGGAGGCGCGTCCCCCCTCACATCATCTCAGGTGTTCGCTCTGCTAAAGTGTAAAGAATTGAGGGCTTCGCCGGTGCAGCAAAAGGGCCCCTATTCGCACGCAAGCTGACAGTGCGGTGGGAGCTACGCGCTCGTTGGACCGCTCATACGTCTATCTCTTCGTCACGTGATCATGCCCTCGCACGTACCCATGCGCAGAGAGGGGAGTCAGGTGACGTACGGAAGGTGGTTGATTGGTTCGACGAGCCGGTAGCTCCCACCGCACTCTCAGCTTAGGGGTGAACGGAACACAGTGTTCAGCAACTGTCTTCCCACAATCTGTTCCCAGTCCGGCGACGAGGAGCTCCTCCAGTTCGAAGTGTCCTACGTGCGCTCCATGAACGAGCTGCTGCTCAACGTGGACGTCCTCGTGCGCCCGGTCTACTCGTACGGGGTGCCGGCGGCGGTCAACTACGGCGCCCTGGGTGCCATGCTGGGCACCGAGCTCACGCACGCCTTCGACTACGAGGGTGGCCAGGTGGACGGCGTCGGAAAGCCGGACAACTGGTGGTCCGCCGAGACGCTCAGGTCAGGCACCAGCGTCTGTTTTAGCGCCCAGTATTTCGGTGGCGCCCGGTTCCCATCTCTTACGTCACTATGAATTGCTTCACCCAACGTTACGTTACCAACTCATCTCACTGACGACACGCCACTGCGGTGGCGCTGCTGTCGGTACTGTGCATGCGCATGCGCTTCACTCCTCCCGAATTTGGTATCTGCTGCGCACACGCAGTGCCCACACCTGGTGTGGGCAAAGCGGTTTTTTTTTTGTTGAAAACACTGTGTTAATATGTAGACCATTCCAATAATCATCTTCTGCGCGCTACCGTTTTTGCCTACTGGGCTGGGGAAAGCGTTCTGAGCATGCGCGGTGGCTCCCTTCTGCGGAATAGCAGACGCCGCGCTTGCATCCGCAGCACAGTGAGTCTGCGTTTTTCGCCCACCCGTAAAGCCTCTAGACATCCGTCTTTTGAGAGGCCCACGAGACACTGTGCTTCAAAACCCGTGTATTCCATAAAGTATACCACGTAGTTATTCTAGCAGCCGCCACCGTTTGTGGGTGTTGAGCAAATCTTGCTTTCAGGAGGTCCATCAAAGGGCGTAGCATCGCCGGCTTGTCGTACTTTTTCAAGATTTCAAAACCAGCACAGTGCAGAAATTGCACGTGTACCAAACTGTATCCACGCATAGCGTTGGCCACCACTCCATTTTCTAAGCTAGGCGGCGCAAGCTACCGCCCGTTATAAAGGGTACAGCATCCATCCAGCCATCCATCACCACTGTCAGACTAGCATCCTTTGCCGGGAACTTTGTTGTATCCCTTCAAACTCAACACTCCAGCAAAACACCTAATTTAATCAACAGTACGGTAAAAAAAAAAAAAAAAAAAAAAAAAGCATTGCGTATCTTCTTACTTCCTCTGCCAAGAACCCGACGACAGCCAAGAAAAGAAAAAGAAAAAAGCTCGCAGTACCAAACTGAAAAGAATTATCGGTAGCAGTCTGTACCAGGAAGGAATCTCTTTGTAGGTCGCCAGCATTCCATCGACGAGTGCGTGGCTTGTTCGAGTGAGTTCCTAGCTTGCTCCATAGTCCCAGAACTACAACATGCTGAGTCATGTTGTTTCTGGCCGTCCTTCCCCGAGTCGTTGGCACAACGTCCACCAGCTGGCGTCCATCTGCAGGACTGTTTCGATTAGGGCTCTCAGATGCCTCCCGCTCCAGTTGTCGATTAATCAACCGGAATCTTCATCACCAGCGTTCATTCGAGTTGATACTAGTTTCAGGTGGTTTATTGTAGATGGTGGACGCGTCTTCATCGCCATTTTCAAGAATTTCCGCTATTTCTTGCATTATAAACCTGAACGAAAACAATGAGCAAACCACTAAAATACAAGCAAAAAGCTGTAGCCCCGACGCCGAGCCATATATGGTTACACGTAAAGTAGAACGACCGTTTGGTATGAAAATATTTTTGCCCGGCGAGACTTTTTGTGCGAAGGTTAATAAAGTCACTATTTCTGCAACTGCTGCTCAACCCTCCCAACTCGTTAGTCGAGTGCAACAAAAATATAGATATATAGATGTTTACGCGAACTTGCTATGTTCTTAAATCCGCAAGGAAAGTACTGATTTCGGAGGTTTCCACAAGGCGTAGATACATTGGGAGGTGTTATCGCTGGGGAGTAAAACTCCATTTTATTAAGTTGTACCAAAATATAAAAAGCAAATGTTTTTGACCCCTTATAAAATATTAAAATGTGCTTACACATATGACACGCGAAGCATAAATCTGTTAACGAAGAGCGGCAGGCTTTCAGAATATTGCTGCCGAAGTTAGTATTTCTATTTCCCGAGTACTTTGTGTTAAAGTAAACCCATTTCGAGTGCTCCTATTATTTTTTAACATAGAAACTAATGTCAGGAAATTCCAGAATCATACTTCGAGCTCGTTTGATGGCCCAATGATTACCTTGTTTTGCTAAGAGTAATATGCAAATTCGAAACCGCGTGCGCTTAGAAAATATGTGTTTTAGCTTTTATTTTCTCATGCTTCTGTTCACTCTACTTGCTCCTCTATTTGTAGCGGCTGTCGCCACTGAAGAATGTGAGGTCCAAACTCGAATTATCGTAACCGTCGCCGAAAGGCATAATCACAGGTAATAGGGGGTAAGAGAGAAAAATCTCCTCCTCCCCCTTATTCCTGATATTGTGAAAATTAAACAAGAGAAGACTAAAGCTATTCTGTTCGTCGTAATAACTGTATCGCAATCCTTACATCAGCGCATAAAAAAAAAATCATTTTCTGTGTTGTTTTGTTATTTTTGAATATATTAATGCGGATCAAAGATATAACGGGAGAATTTTTATCCCTTTTTCTAACTTTTCGCTGCATATCTCAATCGGTGCGAATGTGTCGTCGCGTTCACCACAGAAAGGTGCCTCTCTGCAGTTAAATCAAGTAGGCAGGCAAACTCGCTAAGGATAGGCATGGTAACCCTGAAGCGAAGGGACAAAAAAGGACGGAGATACACGAGACTCCAAACGCAGTCGTGTCTGACCGTCCTTTTTTGTTTCCTCGCTCCAGGGTTACCTTGTCTAGCATATATGCATACTGATGTGCCCTGTGTTTGTTAACCGTGGCCGATGTCTAACGCCGCACCGATGGTTGCGCCAAATACTATTAGGCAAAATTAAATTAGCGCCGGGGCGAACTCTGTGAAAAAAGAAAACAACAACAATAACTCTAAAACTTGTAAACGGGCTAAAAAACGGGAAACACCACCTAACAATAGGCAGTTTCAATAAAGGCCTGTTCACACACTTGCATTTAACTGCGACCGACTTCGACACGACAGGTTTTCAAGCATTTCGTGACGGATTACGACCGGCTTAAAAACCGGTTTTTACCTTCTCCGGTCCTAAGAAGTCGCAAGTGTGTGAACGGGCCTGAACTCTTTTGACGACACACGTCATATATAGCGTCTCTCGTCGCGAAAGCGAACTTTCTTCAATCACTGCGGTAAATGGCCGTTCACACAGTTGTGTTTGACTACGCGGTCGACTGCGACAAGGCCGGTTTTCAAGCCTCTTGTGACTTCTTAGGACCGACTACGCAGCAATGCATCAGGTCGTGATCCGCCACAAGAGGCTTAAAAGGAGTGCTAAAGGCCCGTTCACACTCTTGCGACTGAATAAGACCGAGAGAGAACAGACCGGTTTTTAAGCCTCTTGGGATGTCTTAGGACCAGCTCCGCTGCAGCGCATCCGGTCCTAAGACGTCGTAAGAGACTTAAAAACCGGTCTGGTCTCTCTCGGTCTTACTCGGTCGCAAGTGTGTGAACGGACCTTTAACCTCTCCAGTCATAAGCAGTCAAAGTGTTTGAATTAGCCTATATTTGGCGGTACAGTACGTGAATTTACTGCTATTGCTACACCCTGCACGCTTCTTTAGACCCGAGTTGCTATTAAAAAAAAAAGAAAGAAAAGATATCTGCCCGTCTATTGAGAGGATATATGGCGCTACTACCGGATTGATAACGGCCTGCGATAACAAACGCGGAAGTCTTTAAATGACACAAAAAGATAAGTACAGAGATATCGTATGTTTACGCACCGTACAGTAGCACGCATACACACTTGACTGATACGCACGGCTATAATTTCGCGCCCGAGACAAGTAGCTGGCATACAGATTGTGCGAGCTCAGAGATCTCCCAACAAAGGTGATTAGATGCATGTAAAGGCATGTGGCAGTGTACTACGAACGTTTGGTTGATTCACTCAGCTTTGATGCACCACGGGTACAGAAATAGCCTTCCGTCCACCATTGGTATGGTGAAAGCCTCGATTCGCGGCAGGTGTTTCGTATGGTTCGCTGCAACGTGGTGCATTAAAAAAAAAAGTAAATTACGAGTGAAACTTACTTGAATAAACATTTCTTTCCCAAACGTCATATGCGGTTCGTGGAAAACGATATAAAAATAATTGTCCGGCCGTCGTGTCGAGAGGCTTGGTGGCGAAGTCGCCGAACGACATCGACGGACGGAAAACAGTTCCCAAGCGACCAGTTTCCGACAGCTGGCCATGCATTATCTTCAGGGCTAGGTTTCTAGGTCAGATTTTTTCAGAAGCCGGTATAATTCATGGTTAAAATGTTTACTTTCACTTAACACAACAAATATATAACAAAAAGATAGACGTTTTTCCACCTCGTCGTAACGTCAACCTACAAACACTGCTTAAAATTTAATCTTCGGAGCCCGGAAAATGCGAGTATTTAATTTTATTGCTTGGCTAAGAACCCCGTCTAAGGCCGCTTTAGTAGTAATTTATCTTATGGCCTTTCAGTTGTATGTAATAATTACAATAAACCGACTGGTGCTGCGTTGCGCTCGGTATACTTTCGACGAGAAGCACCATTTTGTGGGAGAGGTTGCCGTGATTTAGACTTGTGCCTATCTCAAATAGTCTACTCAAGATACTGTATTTCAAATACTTTTTGAAGCATCTTGTTGTCTTGAAAATACTTTTGATCGAGAGTATTTGATACTCTATTTTAATTACCTTTCTGAGTTTCTTGTACTCATTATGTCAAATACATTTTTGGCATTCCGCCATTTTCCGAGTTTTTCAGGATGAATTTGCGTGGGCGTGGCACGAGCAAACGTGAACATTCTTTCGAGCAGCCGAATCCTGTTGCTAGCTCCGATTAGCTACAGTGACTTTGACTGAGCTCGTTTAAAAAAAACATCGCTTTTGTGCCGATTGGGACTCATATTTCAGCCCGAAGTTCGTACCAATTAAGGTTCTCCCCTCGCCTTCCCAAAGGCGCCTTTTGTTTCCTAGAGTTTCCCCCGAAAGCTCCTCAAACAAAAGAGGTGTTTTTACGGAGGTAAAGATTCCCATATTGGAGGCGCAACGCAGACCAAGAAACGACCTGCGACAGCAATGTAGACTTGAATCTCAAGGAAATAACAAATAGAAGAAAATGAGAAGTGGACAAAAAAAAAAAAAAAAAAAAAAAAGTGACATTTTTGTTTTGCTTCTATATTTAACCCCTCTACGGCAAAACGTCGAGGTCTTCTTTTGCTTATTTTCCTTTTGTCGTCAGTCCGTCACTTCTTGCTCTCGCGAGCACTTTCTGAAAGCGAACATTGATCAGCAGAAAACAGGAAAGGAAACGAACTAAAAGCTGGATGACCTCTCAAAACGCCAACAAAGTGTCCCCCAACGTTGAGTACCTTTCTGAACGCAACCTACTTGAAGAAGGTGCGACCACTGCCGTGGCTATTATATAGGTTCTCTTCTTTATCCATTCACTCATATCCGTATCCCAAGTTCGTTTATAGTGAACTCCCCATATACGGAATATGAATTTTAGTTAAACGATGAGTCTAAGGTGCGCCGCAGGACGTGATATTCAACGATGTCATTATAGGTAAAGCGACCTCTTTATTTCTGGCCCCCAAAAAAATGTTTTGTAACCTGTTTTAGTGATATTGCCATGCGCGTTGCCGAGCGAGCGCGTCGCCCAATGGTTACCGCGCTTGGCTCTCGCACGGAGCCTCCGGGTTTAATTCCAGGGAGCTGACTCCTCTTTTGTTTATTATTTCAACTTGACATTCGGGAAAGTTCGAGAACCTTCTCGTGTGATCGAGTTACGAATGTTCTACGCACCGAACGTTCTACGCCGAATGTTACCGAAACCCACGCGGGTACAAAAGGTGCTCCGCATCGCGGTCCGGTGTCAGTCTCGTCCCAGCGCTCGATCCTGTTTCTCCGACATCGACGCCTGTGACGCTAGCCTTTCTCTATTTTGCTTTTGGGCACAAGTTCGCCCCATTAAACGTTTAGTTTCTTGAGTTATTCGCCGCCCCATCATTTATCATTCGTGACAATATCCAGCTCCTTATAATTGGACTGCATAAAAAAGCTATGCGACGCTTCATTTTTTTTTTTTCGTTTTGTGTTGTTGCGTGCTAATAAACCATTCTAGTAATCCAGATTGGCGCAACCGTATAATAGTGTTTGCCACTGACGTCGATACCAATTACGCAATGCGGAAGTATCTTCAAAAATAATTGAGTTACATTTCTAAGTATTCGTACTCTACTCAAGATAATTTACAGGGAAAGTAATTTGAGTAGTATTGAAAATACTTTATGAAGCAGGTATTTAGTAACTTAACTTAAATACTTCTATCCAATATTTTGTCCAACACTGGATTTTTGACGCGAGGTGTACCAGAGTTATGCGTGTACTCTCGCAGGAGGTACCGCATCCGACAGGGCTGCTTCGCGTCCCAGCTGCGCAAGTTCCTGAACGACTCCGCGGACGTTGGCCGTCTTCTCCATCGCCTGATGGCCGTGAGCGCCGGTCTGCGACTGGCCTTCTTCGCGCACAGGTAAGGGCCCGCCCACACCCACGTTCTTGGGGTGTTCAAGTGGGGCCTGTTCTTGGTGAAAGGGATCATAAACGTATTTGGTTAGCTTCCCTAAATGCGTCTCGGAATGGATTATCAGCGTCTAGCTAATAACTAGGATTTATTTTTGTCTGTAAATAACGATAAACCACCAAAAACTAAGCCTCGAACCGGTTTTTTCCCTGAAGGTTGGAAACTCCATGCCCTTGTCCTGTTCTCTTCAACATAAGCCCGCGATAAACACCGATATTTATGTCTGACAGCAAAAATGAGCACTGAAAAATGCCGAATCTGCAGCAAATTGTAAACCCCGAAAAAACACCCTGAATTCTAAATAAAATAAACTCGAAAAATACGAAACCCCACTCGTAATTTATACGAAAAAGGCGTTCGTCCATCCCCCTTTCTAAAAGTCAGTCTATCAGTGCGGTCTAGAGTCGATCCCGGCCGACGCTCTAGATCGAGTGCCACGTACATCACCTTCATTAGACCAAAAGTTGTTGGGGCTTTTGTAACGGCCATTAGATATGGCTCTGACCTTTCAAAATAATGTACGCTCTCTCAACTCGCAACGAGAGCAAGTGATCGCGTGGCCCTTGTTGATTTTGAATGCCACCAACGGTCATCAGTCACGCGCTGTTGGTGGCAGTATACGGGACATGTGCTGTATATCCACACATTGTAAGAACTCAGTCACTTCAATCGCTGCAGCGATTGTAGAAAGCTCAACCCGAATGCCCGTTAAGGCACTGACTGCAACTGAGCCCAAGCCGAGTGCTCACGCAGTGTTTGTGTCCAATCTTTAAGGGGTATTTTATCAGTCACATTGCAACCACCGAAGCACGGATGTGCCGCTGACTTGCGGTCATATTTCGACGTCGTAACTTAAGAAAAGGGTGCTGTATAAGTCAGACTCGATCGCGGCTTCGCTATACTCAGAGAGCCACACGTTGTTCTCCACGGACATCGGAGTTCGGGGATGAAATGTCTCAAAGTTATCCGAGGAAGAGAAGGAAAACATTTTTAAAGTCTCGCAGCGGAGATTGCGTTTGTGACATTCTACTTCCGTGCGGTACTTCTCGCGTAACCCCTTCTACATAACAAGGCCGTTGGGCTGGACTTTCTACGTGACGTCACCTATCGGAGGCCAGCCATCAGTGCAACGTCAGCGTTCGACTGAGACTCGTGTTTTCACTGATTGAACATGAGTCCTATCCGAAGGCTAATACGCAGCACACGTCCAATGTGTGCCCCACTCGCGTATGGCCCCCCGCAAGTGACGTAGAGAAAGTGCAGCACTACGGCCTTGTTGTGAACGAGCTGTTGCGCCAGCCGTACGACTGCCTCTTAGCAGATTTACTTGATCGTTGAGGGCATGAAATCGCGTTCGGATTATACCCCGAAATTTCTTCGACACGTTTTAGCGCCATGAAAAGAAAAAAATCAGAAAACTTACGAGTGTGACAACTCGCTAAGTTTTGGCTCGAGCAGCTGGTGATTAATGGAGATGACAGAAAACGTAGAGGAAGTTAATGACAACATGACGTTTTTTTTTTTTTTTTTTTTCGACGCTGTTTTATTGTTCTCGTTTGTAGCGACGGCTTCGCTCGGACGTGAGACACAACAAAATGTAATTCCACTTTGTCACCTTCTTATTTAGTTTTAGACATGCACGTTCCGCGGTGTCGGTTGTTCCGCCCTTGTGCCGTGGCTCAGACTAAAGGCACTGGGCCCAGGAAAAGTAGCTCCAATATGGTTGCCACCTTTGTCCATAAAATATAAGCAGATCATCCGGCTTGATCTTTTTCTATTCTTTGCGAGAAGATCCGAATTCCCAGTGGCAGGTTACTTCGTAAAGACAACCGAGATTTTGATATTCATACTCTAACGGTACAAGCGCACATCATCGCGAGGCCTCCACATGCGGCGTCGACGATGGAGGCATTGAAATATAATTTTCTTCTCTCGAAATACGCGAAAAGAACAACATTATTGTAAGCGATCGGTGGAGATGAGCATGATTGATAAGTTGATTGCATACACAGTGCCAAAGACTGGTATATTGACGAGGAACGCTTTCTTACGATGACGCCATATGGCAATCTTGGCACGACTCGTTCGGAACGACCCCTTTTAAAAGCGTCGAACATTTAAAAGGATCGAAATCCTGATTGTCACGGTTACAAAGACCGAATCGTTTCGCGAGCTTTTGGTCTCGTGCATGTTTAGTATCTGTTTCTGCCCGGCTAGCAGCCTGGGAAGGCAATGGCGCCGCCTTACCGGGATTCGGTGACTCTAGCTCAGACCACCGACAATCGTCACATGACTTTCAAAAGGGGTCTATGCGCCTTTTCCGGCGCTTTCCATCCTGTCCAGAAATGCTGAGTCAGCCGATTGTGGACGCGTGCGCAGCGTCTGATATTCTACAGCTGCGAGCATCTGCGCATGCTCAGAGCTCGTTCCACAGCCCAGTAGACAAAGATGGCAGTGCGCAGAAGATCACTAGAAAAGGCGTCTGAGACGCCGTTCTTATGCTATGGCGAGCTATGTATAGGAGGGTGCTTATGCGGCAAGCGCACGTGCAGGGCGCACGAGTCCGAGAGCGGTCGCCGGAAGACCCTGCGCGACGTGGCGGACATGTCGAGTGACCAGCTGCTCTTCGTCAGCTTCTGCTTCCTGCACTGCCACAACGTGGGCACGTTCGCTGAGGTGCTGGACCTACGCGTCGGCAGGCGCTCGCTGGGACAGATCCTGTGCAACGGCGCCGTGGCCAACATGCTCGAGTTCGCCGAGGCCTTCGGCTGCCCCGACGACGCCAAGATGAACGCGCCCGCCAAGTGCAGGATATGGTGACGATCCGCTGGCCGGATGGACCCGGCGGAATATACTGTTTATTATATGCTCGCGCTTTTATTTATACCGTAAACTATGATTTCAATTGTGATTGGTGTAATCGACATCTTTTCTCGTTTTATTTCTTGGGCACGTCTTATACGCTGCCGGCGCTACGAGTTGATGTGTCTAATCAGACTCCGTCAAAAGCGCACAATAGTGTCCGTCGTGTTTCTATACGCGTTCTATCATCGCTGAACCAATCAGAAACAAAATAGGCTTGCGTTTTTGACGCTGCTTGATTGGTTCTTAGCTCGTAGCGTCGGATGCGTCTGTACTTGGGCTGAAACGAAGTATACGTAAAAACATATAACAAATTTACACAAATTGAGTATAGAATAGAATAGAGTAGTTTATTTCAGACATACATGTGTCACACAATTTGTCTGGGGGGCTGCAGCAAAAGAAGGCACAAAAGCCCTCTGGCGAAGCCGCCGGCTCAGCCCCCCTCCCCTATTATGCCGACAAAAACCGGGGAGCGCTGGACTGTTCAAAGAGGCGAGCGGGCTCTGCGTTGGCCTTCCATGACCGTGGTGTGATGTGTGACGCAGTCTGACGTAGATGATATCTCACGTGAAAACCTGCTGTCTCACCCAGCTGCTCATTGCGCAGCTGTTCCTCGCACACCTAAGGCCCTAAACTTGCCAAACACAAAGTTGAGGCCGAAGTCGACGGAGCGCACCGATTGGACAATCACGACGATGACTTCGTGTTTTTCGTCGCCGACGTCCAATCGGAGCGCTCTGCGAACTTTCGGCACCAACTTTGTGTTTGACGAGTTTAGGGCCCCTAGAGCTCTCAACTCGTCAAACACAAAGTTGGGGCCGAAGTTCACGGAGCGCGCTGATTAGACTATCACGACGATGACCTCGCGCTTTTTTCGTCAGCGTCCAATCGGAACGCTCCGCGAACTTTTCGATTTAACTTTGTGTTTGACGAGTTTAGGGCCCCTACTCTTCGGACAGCGGTCCCCTCGCAGATAGGCTGCTAGCTCAGGTGGTATATGGTATAAGGCTTTAAATGAACTGGTCCTAAGTTTTATCCGTTATGGGGGTCTATCTTGGGTTCTTTTTTAATAGGGCCTGATGGGCGTATCTTAAACGACTTAATTTCGCGGTCTCGAATGTCCGCGACTCAGCCAACACTCAAAATTTGGAATTGACGCCGACAGTGAATTAATATCAGTGTTTAACCATTTTAAAAACAGTAAAAGTAACGACGTTCATGGCATTCAGATCGGGCCTGCAAAGCGTGTAATTAATTCTACCGTCCCTTGCTTGACCCATATTTATAACCTCGCCTTCAGTATGGGGTGTTCCTTAAAAGAATGCAAGTGGCCAAGGTGTCCGTCCTCCACAAGGCTGGGGATAAGAACAGCATGGGTAATTACAGGCCTGTGCCTGTACTGCCGGTATTCTCTAAATGACTAGAAAAGCTTATGCACATGAGACCATATGTTTTCTGTGAAAAATACTCAAATATTACCCCTTGTCAATTTGGTTTCCGAAAGGGGTACTCGACAGAGTTGGCGCTACTAAAACAGAAAGAAATGATACTAACAACATCGAAAACAAACTGCTAACATTAGGCATATGTATTGATTTTTCGAAGGCATTCGATCGCTTTCACCATCAAACATTACTGCAGAAACTGGACCTTTGTGGCATCAGGGGTGTTGCTCTAAACCTAATCGAAAGCTATTTGCAAGATCGATATCAGTAGGTTGAAATTGACGGGGAGCGTTCAAACATGCGCCAAATAAAGGCAGGTGTACTGTAAGGGAGTATTCTTATGCCCCGTTTTTAAAATATTTTTGTAAATGACATAGTGAACTTAGATAATACTGTCAACTACATAATATACGCAGATGATACAAGCTTGTTTTTCTCTGGAACTAGCGTTGACGTCATTATAAAAAGAGCAAATCAATTCTTTGCAGAGTTTAAACGTTTGGACTGCCGCAAATTCATTAACAATAAATGTTGCAAAAACTAATGCAATTATTTTCCGCGCAAAAAATGCAAGCTGCACCAGCAACCTGCCGGGAGGGCTTTCTCTTGCGGAAATTGTGGAAATTGTAAAAACATTCTAAGGTGCTTGGAGTCACTTTTAATGAACAACATATGCTGTGGGATGAGACGGTTCAGGTCACAACCATAAATCTATCAAAAGTTGTAGGCGTTTTGTATAAATACCATAATATTTTACCATCCTCGATAATGCTGCTTATATATCACGCCCTGTTCTGCTCATAAGTCGATTATTGTTTCCTGGTTTGGGGTACCACTACGAAAGCGAACGTTCAGAGACTTTTTATAATGCAAAAGATAACAATACGAATAATGTGTAATGTAGCGTACGATCACTCCACGAAATCTTTGTTTAAAAACCTTGACACGTTAAAAATCACGAATTACTATAGTTATAAGCTTTTGATGTCATTTGAGAGCGTTTTTAATTCTGTCTCAGGTTTGGAGTCGCTGGAAGCAACATATATATATATATATATATATATATATATATATATATATTGTCCTGTTTTACTCACTAGTTCGATATATTTGTTTTGTTTGTATATTGTTGCTATGCCCCCCCCCCCTTTTTTTTCTGTAATGCCTTCGGGCCCACAATGGTACCAATAAATAAAGTGATGAATAAATAAGTAAATAAATAAATAAATAAATAAATAAATAAATAAATAAATAAATACAGCACTCGTCATTCTCGAAACTGGGCCGCACCACGCTCCAGAACCAATTATGGTGAGCAGAGACTGGCTTTTACTCTATTAAGAATTTTAAATAACCTTGAAGCAAAGAGAATTTTTGTGGCAAACACAAGCACAGAGAAAATTCGTGGCCTATGTGAGTGGTCCATTGAATAGGTGTTGTCGTATAGAGACAGTTGCGTATATATTCATGAAAGCCAATGTGCATTGCTGTGTGCTCATTACGAAACTCTCGGAGCAAGTGTGTGCAACTTTGAGTTATGTTTATCTTGTTTAACCCTTTGCACTGTATATAACTGACACCACTGTCCTGTATAAACACTCGATTACCTGTCTTTACATATGTTAAATTGTTCATTTACTCATATACGTTGTGTTTCTTCTGCGGATGTAAATGTGAGGCAGCTTGTCGCTACTTCGTCGAGTAGCGACAATTAAGCTGTTTTTTTTTTCCCTTCCTTCCCCTCTCAGATGGAGAGGAAATAAAATTGATTGGTTGATTGGGTTCGGCTGGGCCGAAGGGCACTCGGCATAGGGTGACGTTGGCTTAGCGCCACCATAATCACTCTGCGCTTGCATGAACGTGTCCGAAGGGCCTCGAACCGAGAGGGGAGCGATCACGCGCACCCAATCCTCTTCTCTCTTCCTCTGGCACCCAATCTGTGTCGTCAAACCTCGATTGGATGCGCTACGGTCGCGTCAGCTTAAAGGCAGCCTATTGGGGCTTTCATCGATCATTAACTAACTACACGTGTTCTTGTGTCGATAGAGCAAGTTTCAATCCTTTTGACTTTCTGCGGTACTCTGCAAGCACCGGAAGGACTGGCTTGTAGACTGAAGGCCCGTGATTGAAGTAGTTGCGCTCGTTCCGCTCCCCAGCAACTGTAGTCGAGTTCCGGTTACTCTACCCGCATCTTTACTTGGGCAGCAAAACAAGGTAAAGCCGCTTTGGATCTACTTACATGGGGCACAGCTCTCCTGATGCCTGCACTCGTGCTTTCAGTAATCAAGAAAAACGTGCTTTGGAAAAAACGATTTTAGTAGGTCTGCGCGAGGCCCACTTTGCAAGCATTAAAAAAAATAAACACAATATGAAAACAAAACAAAACACAAGCGTGTGGGGATTCACCGAGAGAGTGCGCTCAACCATCCACATTACCAGGGTCATGCCATGCCCAACGTCCCAGACGGTAATACCGACCATCGCGGATTTTTTTTTTAATTGTAGTTTGTTAGATTCTATATGGATTATACGGCAAAATATATTTGTAGAAAAGAAAATATTTTTGGGATCACATGAGCACTCTGAAGTTTCTGCAGCGAAGCCCAACTAGGTAGAAGTGAAAAAAAAAAAATGAAAACTCCAAGTGATTAAAATGGGATAGCCCAATTATTTTAAATACTCTGGTCATAACGTTCGTTTCTGTGATAGCCGAGTTCATTTGATGTAACAGATTTCCGTGTTGGCTTAGTTGGAACAAACAAACACAAAATGTGACACGCTGAGCCTTTAAAACGAAGCACCGTTGAACTTGAAGATATTTTGAAAACTTATTTTGGGTGGTCTGTTGCAATATTTCTGGTCCACTTGTCTGAGAACGATAAAACAACCAGGTTTCACAAAAAATAGATATCAGAGTTGCCCAAAACTGATTTTTGCTGAAGAGACTCATATAAAGCATCGAGACCCTCTCGATAAACCTATGCGGTTTTCGTGGTACTGTTCTGTTCCTTCACTGCACAACACGCTCGCGCCGCTGATATTCGAAACACATGGCACCAAAACCAAAACAACGCAGTGCATGGTGGGACACCTTTTTTTTTTTTTTTTTTTGCGCATCCTCAGGGCGCAGCCACCTACCGCCATCTTTTCAGTTCCTGTTTTTGTATTCACCGCGTTTTCCTATCTCACTCCGGGGCGTTTCTTTCGGCGTTTTGTTTGTTTGTTCGTTTGTTTGTTTTCGCAACAAGCTGGAATTTGGACAGCACACTGAAATGTCATGTGCGCACAAACATCCAGTTGCCGGCGAAGCAGTTCAAATTTTCCTTTGTGGTTGCGGGTCTAAGAAGCGTGTTTCTTTAACGCGGATATGGTTTCTTCCATAGTATTTTTTTACGTTAAATCGTTTCTTGGAGAATAGGTGTGACCGAAGAATTACATCTCGGTGAGCGGCGACATGCAGCAAGCTAACAAGTGCATCAATGCAGATTGTTGGGCTAGTTGGTACTACGAATTTGACGTCATGATGGCGCTTAAGACGAGGACAAAAGGGAGACAGACAACACGGAGCG